GCCTCCCGCCCCCTTGCCCCCTGGACAAGCCGCCCAGCCTCTGAACCAACTCACCCAGCCTAGCCCTGGTGGCAGGGGACATGGCTCAGTCCAGCCACATATGTCTTCTTGCTGTTCCCAGTGTGGAGCCCCTGACAGACTGTGATCAACCATCAGAGGCTCCACGATCAACCAGTCAACCAAGATTGACTGGTTGGTGACCACTGGTCTAAGGACACCATGGACGTTACAAGCCTACCAACATCCCACACCAGGATGGCATTCAAGCCTGCCTTACATATCTGCAAGAACAAGATTGCAGCTCAGAGTACAGAACCCAAAGACATTACACTTCATCCTCACACAAAACAACTTCACTTTCGATAACCAACACTTTCTCAAGACCACGGGCAGCACCAAAATGCCCCCACATTATGCCAACCTGTTCATAAGCCACTTGAAAGAAAAATTCTTCAAGGACTGCACCATCAAACCCCTGTTATACTTAAGATATATCGATGACATCTTCATCATTTCTACTGAAAACCTACAATCTGATTGATTTCCATCAGAAATTCAACATGCAGCACCCCTCCATCAGACTATCACCAGAATACTCCAACACCAACATTCACTTTTTAGACATGATGGTCACTATCCAGAATGGTACAATAAGGACCACCATATGCAAGAAACCCACAGACCAACATACATATCTGCACAGAACCAGCAATCACCGTAAAAACACCAAGAAAGCTGTTATATATAACCAAGCTCTCCGATACCACTGAAGAGAACACCCATGATCACCACCTCACAAATCTCAAAAGGGCCTTCACTCAACAAGGACACTTCTCCAGGGAAATATATCATGCTTTTGAAAGAGCCACCCAGATACGACATGAAGAATTGCTGCAATACAGAAAAATCCCCATGAATCACACACCACTGGATAGGACATATCATTCCTCCCTGGAACCTATATGGAAGATCCTCAAACAACTGTAACCCATACTAAAAAGAGACCCAATTCTCACAGAGATCTTCTCAGAACCACCCATCCTAGCCTTTAAATAAACACCAAACCTCATCAACCTCATCACCAGAAGCAAACTTCCTACAGCCCCAAACACCAAATGGGTCCAGACCATGCCAGGACAAGAAATGTAAAACCTATCAACACACCTCCACCACCCCCACAACAGAGCCATCAACATTCCTGGATATTACACCTGCACCTACAGAAATGTAATATCTCATCCAGTGCACCAAATGCCCTGATGAAAAATATGTCAGAGAAACCAAACAATAACTGTGCACCAGAATGAACACACAGTGGAAATGTATCAAAGACAAGAATACCCAATTACCGGTGGGGGCACATGTCTCACAAGAAAACCACTCTCTCTCTCCAATCTCTCAGTTGCAATCCTCAAAGGGAATTTACAAAATACCTTTCACAGATGAGCCTATTAACGCCATTTCATCAATCTACCAGATACAAAAATTCATGGACTAAATATAGACATTGGATTTATGACACATTATAACCTGCCTAACATCTGACTTCCCAGGTAAAACCTCCACTTTTTACCAGCTATTCTCATTCCCTCCCCCCCACCTTCCGGTCTCCCATCCTTTGACTACAGCTACATTCATTCACCCTTTCTCCTTCTCCTACCTGTCTCTTACCTACTGACCACCTCAATTTACATTTTAACTGATTGGCTTTCATGCATACATTACTGGCCTCTGACTGCTTTACCATTCCATCCAGGAAGAGCACAGACCATCTGCATATACTTCCTCAGCCTGATGCAGGGCATTTGTGCCTGAAAGCTTGCTAAGAAGAACTTTTCCAACTATTTGAGCTGGTCTAATAAAAGATATTGGATTTACCCAAGGACCCTTGACTGCCTAACAGCTAACCATGAACTCACTGTTGAACAAATAATTGAAGTTAAAACAATACACTAACCATCTTAATACATTTCCCAACACAGGAGAATGACTGATTATGCATGTCCTTTGAGGTGGGAAAGAAATGAAGGTTATGCAGTCAGAAGGTATATTTGCAGCACAGGATGGCATACCTCCCATTAGCTTTCATTTAGGTAGCATGAGTAACCATAAGAGCACTAGAGACTTCAGTATAGACAATACAAGCCTCATAGGGACCCCGGGCACATGCCTGGGTTGCTACCATATCTTGAATGTTATTGTTACCCATGCTGGCTAGAAGAGAAAGCTTTCTGTCCTGCAATCACACCCCTACACTGCAGTGCAGACACATCCTGTGATACATTTACGGCAGGGAGGGGTATGCACATACACATCTCAGCAGAGCTTCTTCCTTTGAAATAGGTTTGGCTGCAGATCACAATCTTTCAAAGGGGCCATCTGTAGACCAAACGTTACACAGGAGAAAAAGTAAATGGGTATCACAATGTTTTTTGAATGGGATAAGGCTCACACTTATTATTAAATTTCTAATAGGAATAACAACAGCGATAAGGGTCTACTATTTAGAACCCCTTGTTTTTGTTACCTTGAAACTTACACTGGTGACAATTATGCTAAGTGCTCTGGAGGTACACAGAAAGCATGGTAACTTATAAAGGGAGGTGTACTCTTAGAGATAGTTAGACCTCAGGCTATTTAAACTTATCTGCAGCAATTTTATACAGAATTTGAAAGCTGTAGAGTACAACATTTCCTCAACACAGGTAAATGCTTTTTACCTGTGGGAGAAGTGGGTATCTGCATTCTGCATCAAGAGTAGGTTCTGCCTTTCATGCCTTTCATGTCTAGTCCAATGTACAGCATAGTACAGTAGTTTAATTTAGAGGTAACAATAGAATAACAACTGTGGCAAAATTAGAATCACTGAGAAAACCTAGTCCATGAAAAGAGATTATTCCAAGACAACATTTGGAGAGCACAGCAAATTGACAAATGCAATCAGTGATGAAAGAAGTCAGAAATTATGAAGTTCCAGAAATGTTTTTCCTGACCATCAGCATCACCTCATTCTTAAATTTACACCAAAAGGCATTCTTTTCAGTTCTGTACTTATTCCATAATGGGAAGGAAAAGTAGTGGTTTTCTCTTTGGTGAAGAAGAAGCAGAGCTGAGGGATGAAGGCATAATTATATGAAAAAGGGTAGGCTGGCACACTTTGGATAATTTTCTGCTCAAATGTACATAACATTATTGATAAATATGACTTTGGGCCCCTCTACACATTATGGGTACTGCACAATTAGCTGGTTAATTGCACAATTACCTGGAGACCAGCT